GTGACCACAACTGAGGAGCAGGTACTCCAGATCCAAAAGGATCTGGAGTACCTGCTCCTCAGTTGTGGTCACTGCTCCAGTTTTAGTGTCGTCTGCGAATTTGATCAGCAGACTGTTCACCCCTTCTTCCATATCGTTAATGAAAAGATTAAACAGGATCGGCCCCAGGACAGAGCCATGGGGGACCCTGCTTGTCACTGGCTGCCATCCCGATGATACCCCGCTAATGGTTACCCTCTGCTTTCGGTCAGTCAACCATGCCCTAATCCACCGGACAGTGCTTTGGTGTATCCCGAAACTCCTCAGTTTCTCCACCAGGATATCTTGGGGCACTTTGTCAAAGGCCTTGCTGAAATCCAGGTATACCACATCCACTGCATCCCCTCCATCTAGCCATCTCAAAACCTCGTCTTGAATTCCACAAGGTTGGTCTGGTAGGACCTGTTTTTGCGGAAGCCATGTTGTGTGGCTGTCAGCCTCCCTTCCCTATCTAGCATCACTAGATCTCTCTTTGTTATGAGCCTTTCCATTGTTTTTCCTACAATGGACATAAGGCTAACAGGTCTGTAATTCCCCATGTCCCTTCTACTACCCTTTTTGAAAATTGGGACCACTGACACCACCCTCCAGTCCTCTGGAGCTTCACCCGTTCTCCACGAGGTCTCAAAAATGGAGGCCAGCGGGCATGAGAGAACCCCAGCCAACTCTCTAAGTACTCTCGGGTGTAACCCGTCAGGGCCTGGCGCCTTGGTAATGTCCAATGCCCTGAGGAGCCCCTCGACTTCAAGGGGGGGTGACTCTAATTTGTGCCCCTAAGTCCCCAGCCTCATCTAATCCCCTATGCAGATATCCCCCGTCCTGTTTTGGGGAGAACACAGAGGGAAAATAGTCATTTAGCATCTGTGCCTGTTCCCTCGTATCAGTCACTGGATCTCCTTCCTCCTTATTTAGTGGTCCCACCACTTGTCTCCCCTTCCTCTTCCTATTTACATGCTGACAGAAGCCCTTTTTGTTGCTCTTGATATTCTTGGCAAGTCTCAGCTCGTAATCAGCCTTAGCCTTGCGAAGATTCCTTCTGCAACAGGCCTCCTCCTCCCAGTAGACCCTTTTGTCCATTTCCCCCAGTACCCATTTCCTACGGAGGTTCCTCTTTCGTCTAATCCCTCTAACCACCTCCTTTCGCATCCATGGCGGCGCTCTCCTCCACCTCCCCACCTTACTGACTAGAGGTATCATCAAGACTTGCCCCTCCAAACCCTCCCTTTTGAGTGCCATCCACTCCTCCTCAACTCCCTGGCCTTCCAGTAACCTGTCCCAGGAGACTTTCCCCAGTCTGGCCTTCAATGGCCAAAGTTGGCCCTCTTGAAGTCCCAGCTTCAAGTGCTCGACCTGCTGCACATCCCCAGTCCCCTGATCTCAAAGCAAAGGATGGAGTGATCACTCGCATCCAGAGCTCCCCTAATCTGTACTTCATCTATCAGCTCCTCTCTATTGGTCAAGACCAAGTCAAGGATGTCTCCCCCCCCTTGTCGCCTCTCGGACCCTCTGTGTGAAAAACCCTCCCTCAATAGCTTCTAGGAAGCGACGTGACCTGGCTGTCACCGCCGAGTGAGTCTCCCAACTAATATCCGGGAGATTGAAATCTCCCATAATTACTGTGTCTCTCCACCGAGATATCCTTAGAATCTGGCCTGTCAGGACATCATCCAGGGTCTCAAGTTGACCTGGAGGGCGATAACATACTCCCACTGTCAGGCCCCTTTCCCCGTCAAAACCCCTAAGTTTGACCCAGACTGCCTCTGCCGAATCCCCGTCTGTGCTGCATTCTGTCTCACTGCATCCTATCCCTTCCCTGACGTATAAGGCCATGCCCCCACCCCCCTTTCCCTTCCTGTCCTTTCTGAAAAGGCGATACCCTTCTATGTTCACATTCCAGTCTTGCCTCTCATCCCACCAAGTGTCTGTGATTCCCACCAGGTCATGCCCTCCTCTTCCCAGGAGAGCTTCCAGCTCTTCCTGCTTATGACCCATGCTCCTGGCATTGGTGTACATGCACCTCAACTCCTTCCCTTCGCTTCCTTTCCTTGGAGTCCCCAGCCTCCTCCTTCCTCCCATCCTCCCTGGTACCTGGCCCCTCTCTGTAGGAGTCCTGTCAGTCCCTGCAGTACCTCTAAAACCTGCTCCCAGAGCCCTGATCCTCCCCCCACACTTGTCCAGTGCAGGCACGTTTCTGGGGGGCCTGAACCCCCCCCCCCAGCTCAGTTTAAAGTCTTCCGGACGAAGCTCGCTAGAGCATCTCCAGAGGACCTTTTCCCCATCCTCGTGGGGTGTAACCCGTCCCTTGCCAGAAGTCCATTGGCAAGAAACCGAGTGCCGTGGTCGAGGAACCCGAAGGGCTCCTCTGGCACCACACCCTAAGCCAGTCGTTCCCCTTGGAGGCCCTCCTGTCCCTTCCTGGCCCAAATCCCCGGACAGGTAAGATCAACGAGA